GTACTATAAAGTTCTTGAGATGGTGCAGGGCGACGGGATCACTGACTTGAGCGTCATATGAGGGCGCTACCTGAATAATGGGTGCTTCACTGAAGAAATTTTATGGGTAAAAGAGTCTCCTAAGGAGGTACGTTCGTACGCTATCCGACAATTGATGAGCGCTTACAAAACAAACAAGAAGTAGCATGGAAATATTTTTCGAATGAAGTACCGATCGAAGAAGGATAAAACACAAATCAGCTCGATTCTTACCAGGGATTGGAATAGTAATTAAGGAGAATACGCGTTCCTAAAGAGTATCATCACCCCAGAACAGTGATGGCAAATTATAAGGTCATTTACTATTTTTTAAATGACCTTTGGTCATTTGACTTGAAATTTATAATAAAAATGATGTCATTTGAGGTCATTTGAGGTCATTTGCCAACACCGCCTTCAGAACGACCACCAGAGATCAATAACACGGTAACTATGAATCACCTGGGACATTTTTACTTGTGTGTTTCCGTTCCTTTGGACATTATCGATAATCAAGATGATGTTCGTGGAAAGGTAATCTCGCTAGATCCAGGTGTTCGCACGTTTACGACCCCGATGATCAATTAATTGAGATACTGACAAAGTATTCAAATTGTCCAAGAAATACGACAAATAAAAGAGCGACAATGATCTTGCTTTGGGAAGAACAAACAAGAGAAAAAGATTTCGATTGGGAAAAAAGATGCTACGAATCATACAACGAATCCGTAATTTGATAGATGAGTGTCATCACTAGCTGGCCCGATGGTTATGTCAGAATTACGAGATCATTTTGCTTCCTAAATTCTGAAACATCACATAAGATGCTCAAAAATAAAAGAAAGATCCAATCAAGGACAGCCCGCGCAATGCTAACTTGGTCGCATTATAGATTTCAATGTTTCTTTTGCACAAGATAAGAGAGTACAAGTATTGCTAAGACATGTGAGCATTGCAGACAAATCAATGACAAACTGGGTGGTTCTAAGACTATTCGGTGCAATTCGTGTGAGATGAAGATGGATCAGGACGCGAACAGGGCGAGGAACATCTTACTCAAATTGATAGCGGAGGGTCAGGTTTTGGCCTGACTTTGGGACTTGAACCTTTATGGAATACGATATGACTATGTTTATTCATGTTGGATTCAATTAGCAATTGGTCGTGGTACGATAATAATGGCGGTACATAACCTGGATTTATCCCTAATGAGACATCATATTAAATTGAATTGATACTCCTTGTAATATATTATATATATATTCATTCATTTAATAATGTAAGAAATAAAATATATTAACCAATACTTAAAAAATATTGGGGAAAATGCAATGAATTGTATATTGCTAGAGTTTGGGATGATGGAAAATGGGTTATTGGTAAAGCGGGAAGTGTAAGTTTTATTTCTTAAATTTATTTCTGATATCGCCAAATTGGACATATTTATGAAATTTTAGCAATTAAAACAAATCGTTGAAGTTTTTCTTCACATTTTTAAATGACAAAAATAATAATAAAAAAAAAATTCTTCTATGATCTGTGAATCGTTTTATTTTTTATTTTTTTTTTAAAAAAAAAAAATTTATTTATTTTGAACAATCATCCACCTACGTATATCTACGTATATCATAAATTTTTTTTTTTTTTTTACGCCAAGTTATATTCGGTGTTTTGATTATTTGGATCCGTATCGTAAAGTATACTTTGTTTGAAAATTGATTTATAATATACAATATACTTTCCCACGTTGCATAAATGAATACAATCATCTCATCTTACTCATCATATCACGCCAACACGTTGCTTATATATTGATTTTTTTTTATTTTTTATTCTCTCAACTTATTTTCTTACAAAAAAAAATCAATAAACATGTATAAATTTGAAAATGATGTGCGCGAAGAAAAAGACCAAAAATTTACTTTGATTGGTAGAAATTATGAGATAAAAACAGAATGGAGAAAATTATACGATGATGAAAGAAATAACTCTGAACCAATAAATAATAAGGGCAAGACTTGTTTGGAAGGCTCTTGTATTTATCCGACTTCTCCAAGATTTCAATCGTCGCCTGAATCATTTTCTCCTACACACTCTCAAGCAAGTGAACCAAAGATCCCATTGGAGATGCGCAAGAAAGCCAAGGGTAAAAGCTCTTGTCAAATTGATGTATCGAGAATTGTTAATCCTATCGTAAAATGTATCTCTGATCTAAAATCTGAATTTCATACGCAATTTTCCAAACGTCATTATGATATGGATCCTAATCCTTATACAGCTAAACCTCATACGACGAAAATTGGTGAAGAGTGGCAAGATCCTGAATATCAAAACGATGAGGCCGTTACTGCTGGAAGACTTCTTGATGTAATTTTGACGATGAAACTGCCTAAAGAAGCTAAAAAACGTCTTGTTCAAGCACGTGATATCATTTGGGATAAAATTTTGCATCATCGTAATACTACTACTTTTGAAAATATTATTATCCAGTCAAGTACTCCTCGGGCAGTTTATATTGATCCTGTTGCCAATGCTGACTCGTCACTTGGTCATACTCACTTTGAGATTATTCGTTCGCATGATAATAATGGAAATAATAATAAATCATCTAAAGAAGATGGATCACTCATTCCGAAGAATAATCAAGAGAAGAGCAACGTAAAGGAGCAAACATCAACTGTTGTCACAACCGATGATAAAATTATCGACGATCCTGCCGCTTCCATTCCTTATCGACGTTTTACAACTCAGTGGGAAAAGCCGAATCAATGTTTGACCTGTAGTGATTCGACTTCAAATAGTAGCCGTCATTATCAAAATAATGAAAGAAACTCGGCGGGAAATTGTTTTTCATCAATAAACTGTTTCCAAAAAAGGAGAACGTTGCCAAGACGCGTAACTTACGGTGGCATTGGTCATTTTATCAACGACCGTCCTACGGATAATAACAACCTACTCGACGGATTTTCTGACGAATTTGAACATGTCCTAAGTATTTGATGTACAGAGATTCGATTTTGATAACATTAATCGGTTGCTGAAATTGTAAAAGAATGATTATTAGCAAATATTAACAATATAAATGTAATCGAGTATAATTTTAGGGTTATTTTAATACATGGAGTAAAAAAGGAACGTAATATTCAGTCACCAATATATTCGAAAAATAAAATAAAATAATTGCACATGCTTCAATATAAAGAAAATGCTAATAATTCAAATATGCAAATTTATTTGTGTTTAATCCTGATTTAACATAACCTATGAAAAATGAATGTATAAAAGTTGTACAAAAATTTATAACTTTGTTTTATCTGCTTATATTTTCATACGAACGATAATGTAATGTACCTCTTATAATTCAAAAAATGTAAAAAAAAATATATATATATATAAATACAAAGTTGATTACATTTATAATATCTAATTATAAATCCGAAATACGAATTTCAAAAAAAAATTAAAATTATGTAATTCCTAAGTTATATATTTTTTTGTCTAATTCTGATCTGTAATTCAGTACATGTATTTACGATAGTAAGTTTTAATTTCAAAGGAGCATTCATATCTACTAATGTGATATCTAAATTTCTATATATTAAAGCGATTAGACATTTCATTTCGACAATAGCTAATTTTCTTCCTGGACATAACCTTACTCCACCTCCAAACATCAAAAATGTATTCTTTTGTGGTTCAGTTCCTATAAATCTATCAGGATTAAATTCATAAGGATCTTTCCAATGAACGGGATTAAGATGAATTCCTTCCATATATGCAACAAATGTCGTGTTTGCAGGCCATTCATAGCTTGCCACAACATCTGATGAAGAGGAAACGCGTTGAGTGTATTTTACCGTATTTATGAGACGTGTACATTCCTTAAATATAGCTTCCGTGTAATGCATCTTTGAGAGATCTTCCATCGTAGGCATACGTTGATCCAAACCAAAGATCGAATCAAGTTCCTTTTGCAAACGAGCCAAAACGTTAGGATAATGACATAAATGGTATATGACAAAACATAATAAATTTGCTGTTGTGTCAATTCCGCCAGCGATAGCTTCAAATAAAATTTGACTGATTTCATCATTATTTAAAGGCTTAGAACGATCTTCATCCATGTACTTGGATTCATTGATATCACGTTCGGTATTTGCGGTGATCAAAGAAGTTAACATATCATGTCTCAATTTTTCTTCAACCGGTGTATTTTCAATCTCTTTTCTTCGATAATCAATAATTTTCACCATGGTTTCGATGTATTCACGCCTATTACTAAGCATGGTTTGATTCTTTTTTTTCATGATGGTATGTCTAAGAAAAGCGGGATACGTGAGAGCAAATTTTATATCATCAAATCCACCCTCAACAACCTCTACGAATTGTGTAATATCTTCAACTACGAGATTTTGTTTGATGTGTTTTTTCTTTGATGGTTCAACATGATTAAAATAAGTGACCATGGCATTAACATTTAACCCAACAGTCATTTGAAAAATAATTTCCGTGGTAAACCTATGAATCCATACGGCGAAATCGATTGGAGCTTTCTCCCCAATCTCTTTCCAGTACCCATTTAATTCATTAAAAAGAATTGGAGTCCAATGTAAAACTTCATTCGAGAAGCTTGGAGCCAAAACTGCCTGTGTTAAGAATTTTCTATTAAATCTCCAAGTACGAATATCATTATTCAATAAAATCCCTTTTCCTTTAATTCCTAATTCTTCAAAAGAAGGGTAATCTTCCGATCGAATTATATAATTGCTGTTTGTAGAAGGTGACATCATCTTTTCAACATATTCCGCTTTGGCAAATACCACTTTACGTTCATTTCCAATATACGTTTCAAAAATATCACCATATTTCTTATTTAAAAATTGGAACCATTCCACATCATCTCCATTTGCTTGAAATATGATGCTCAATACATCTCCGAACAGAGGAAGGGGAATTTGACCTGGTAGTGGATTTGGTCTTGTAAAATATTTGTAATAAAAGTGCCCTACATATATCAGAATAATCAGAATAATTGTTGTGGTCAATCCCGTGAAATCCAACGCTCCTAATGATAAGATTGACATTGTTCAACGGAAATTCAATTTTTTTTTTTTTAAAAAAAAATAATAATAAAATGAATATTTTACGTAAATTATAGAAAATTATGGTTATTATGAAGGTGAATTTATTTTAGTATCTGGTTAAAAAAAATAATATGAATGAATGAATCGCCTTCGTTTTTATACACGTTAAATTAAATAAAAGTTTATCCGAGTTCTTTATTGCGGAGAAAAAATTTTTTTTTTAACCACAGAGAGAAAACAAAACAAAGAAACACCAATATGTATATATGGGTTTGTGATTTTTAATTGCCGAGGTTTGTAACACACGTTATTGTATGCATTTTTAATATTACAAATGACCTTACACAAAAAATTGGTGATGTTTATTGAATTTGCTTAGATGGCTTAGTTATTTGGCAATTTGAAATTCGGTTAAATAAGTTTTAACTAATTATGACTGACATATTATTAGTCGACCAAAAACGAAAAAAAAATAAAAAGACCAATTTCAATTGTACCTATACAAGCATCAAAATTTTATTCAATGGAATTTTTTTTCTTTTGTTTTTTTTTATATGTATACACAACATTTCAAAATGGGCAAGCATTTAAATCAAGAGATAAAATCTTGATGATATAATAAGATTTTAAATTTGATTTACTTCCTCAATCGTGCGTGGTGTTTGAAAATTTAAGTTTACTGCGGTGACCTTTTGAAGAGTTTATTTATGACGCTAAGCCTCATTGAAACAATTGAAACAAAATCGTGACGAGGATAACATTAGTATCACATGATATTCATATAAATTCATAATCGGCAAATTTTATGGTTTGAAATTTTCTTCTCCTGTTCTTTGTTGTCGCTTTATGAACCTAACAATATTTATTCATTTTATCAACGTATTATAAAATTTTCCATTACTTGACCTCTCACAAAATTTTAATAAATATGTCCCTTCAACTTGAAGAACCTAGTGTTATTTTGCAACAGCTTGAAAAGCTTCACATTTCAAATAATGGTAGTTACGAACATGATGTTGAAAATGATGTACGAGGATGTGAAGAAGTAGAAATTACTCATGTGAAAGATCATAACCTTACTTTGGAGGTCGGTGATAGTAATACATTCAAAGAAAAAGGGTGGGATGATTGCTATTCTGAAGATGGAGTACAATCAATAATTACTAACAACAACGACAAGGACGTTTCTTCTGTTGACGGATCTGATATTAGTCTTCCTAAACATCGGAAATATTATCCATGTGATGATGAAAGGTCTGATTCTGAATCTTTTAGTAATGAAGATGAGACAATTTCGGAAGACACCAACTTTCACCTTACTTCTTCACGAAGATTTACGTCGTCATCTAACGCATATCCCCCTTATGAACAAATAACGCCAACTAAAATTTCCAATTCTCCCTTTCAAGTCAATGCTCCCTTGGAAGTCTCCCCAATGTCCCTTGGGAACGGTTCTTCTCAAGATGATATCGATGTAGCGAGAATTGTTAATCCTATTGTAAGAAGTATCGCTGATTTGAAATCAGAATTCCACACACAATTTGCCAAACTTCATTATTGTGTGGAACCTAATATCAATGTTGCCGATGACCGGCAATATACCGAATTTGAGAATTCGCAGGATCAATGTCGATATGATGCAGTTATTACGGCTAGCAAGCTCCTTGACGTTATTATCCCACTGCAACTACCCGAGGAAGCTAAAAAATGTCTTGTTCAAGCTCGTAACATAATTTTGGAAAAAATTTTGCTTTATCGTGTTTCCTCGCCCTCTACTCAGGCTGCTGATGATGCTGATCCTGCTACTGTTGACTCCATTCCGGAAGGTGTAAAAACCTTTCCAGAATTTACTTTTTTGGGTACCACCAACAATGATTCATCTGAAGAAAATGGATTGTCTGTTCAAAGGAGGAACAATAGAGATTGTTATCATCAGATTTCTACTAATTCTGATGAGCAATTTTCAACAGCTGTTGATGACGTATTAAATAATGAAATTGACAGAAATACTGACGCCATTACCTCTACAAATCGGTGTGATTCGACTCTAGGTAAAAAACCAAGTTATCGTCCGACTCGTGGCGTTGCTACGTACCCTTCTCCAAACAGTGTGCGTCGTAATCGAAATTATGGGAGACCCTCGACGATAGAAGCTTCTACGTCAATAAAAAAATCTCCAACTCGTACGCATCATGCACGTTCTTCACGTACAATTTCCTCCGTGTCTGGTTCGGCTTCAAATATTCAACCAAATAATAGACGATTTGTTGGGTTCCTGCCTTCAAGGTGCTTTACTTGTGGTGGTATTGGTCATTTCGCCAACAACTGTGCTAGTAAAGGATCCTATTTAACTACAAGTACTATTAAAGGTCAACAACCTTCTCGTCGCCGCCGTTCTTATGGTACAAGTCACAGAAGACCCACGAAATCGATGGTGAATGATGTCACTTCTAATGAATGAGCGAAGAATTGGTGTTACGTTAAAGTTACTCTTAGTAGGGTAATGTGATTTGTTGTTGAACTTGGTTCGTTATTATATTAAATGATTAAATATTTATATTAAATTTAAATGGTGGTATTTATTATTATAGTGAGGTAAATAGAATTTAGAATACAAACTTCCATACATGGAGTAAATGGGAAAAACGTTGCATTTATTTGTTTTCAGTATATTGAATCATTCATTTTTTTTTCGTATTTATTGACTATTTAGAGGTTATACGGTGAATGAAATTCAAGGAAAGAGTTTGTAGATTAAAGGAAATTCTGCTTGTTCTGTAGTAAGGGAAGAGATAAATTTTATTAAAAAAAAAAAAAGGTAAAAACATAGCTAAAATTATATAAGGGTATTATTAGATAGTTATTATCATAAGGATATTTTTTTTCAAAAAGGAATTTGATAGCGTCTTTGATATAAATGATAAAAGGATAATAGAATTAGTAGAATCGAGGAATTAAGATCTTAACAATATTTTAAGTTGAATCCAAATAAACGCGTTAAATTTTTTTGATCTTGTTTATGATCTGCTGCTTTCAAAATTAATTAAGATTTACGTGCAATTCTTTTTTTTTTTTTTTTTAAAAAAAAAAAAAAGAAATTTTATTTATATAAGCTATTTTAAGATCCTTTAAAGATTATAATTTTTCGTTTAAATCCATTCAATATTTGGAATTATGATATTTTAAGGGATTTATATTAAAGCGATTAATATTTCTTCTTTCTTCAACATGTGGTCAATAAAACGGACTCCACCTTCTATACATTTTTTTTTTTTTTTTTTTTTTTTATTAAAAGATCAGTTAGTTGTATTAAATCTATTAAATACGAGGATCTTTCCAATGAAAAAGGTAAGATGGATTCTTTCAAAAGGTGTGACAAATGTTTTGATGGTGAAAAAGTTTTTTGTCATGTCAATTCCAGCAATAAATTCGTCTTAACATTCTATCATATATTTACTATTAATAAAAGGACCAGCACTACCAAATATAATTTTTACATAAATGTTTCATATTTCTTATCTAATACACTATACAATTCTGCTTCATTTCCATTTTCTTGTAATCAACTTTCGAGTAAGGAAGGGAATTGTACCCAGTCTTGTGCTATATGACAGTATATTAGAAGAATTAATGATGTAAATCTAACGATCCTGAAGTTGTTTGAATTAATTTACAAAGGATGTAAAGCGTCCTGTCAGAGATAAATACTTAACTAATTAATACTTAAAATCTATATTTAAAAATTAATTCGAATTTAAGTTTTTCTATAATAAAAATTTGACTGCATCAATGTCATAATATCTTGTTAAAGTTAAATTAATTAACGTCCTACTTTTAATTTTTTTTATTTTTAAAAAAATAAAAAAAAAAAAAAAAAAAGGATACCAAAATTCATTATAATTTACTTTACGTTTTTTTTTCATTTAATTTTTCATGATTATAACCTTTTTCTTAAAAAAAAAAAAAATAACTCAGTACACGTGTTTACAATAGAATGCTTTAATTTCAAAGGAGCATTCTTAATGTAATATCTAGATTTCTGTAGTTTAAAATGGTCAAACACTTCATTGCCACAAGAGCAAATTTTCTCCCTGGACTTATTCGTACACCACGCCTCTAAACATCAATAATATATTTGTTTGTAGTTCAGATCCTATAAATCTATCAGGATTGAATTCATAAGGATCTTTCCAATGAACGGGATTAAGATGAATTCCTTACAGATATGCAACATATGCGTGTTTGCAGGCCATTCATAACCTGAGACTACATCCGACGAAGAAGAAACGCATTAAGTTGTTTGACTGTATTTACGAGACATGAACATTCCTTAAATATAGTTTCTATGTAGTGCATTTTTCCATTGTAGGTATAAATTGATCCAAACAAAAGATTGAATCAAGTTCCTTTAACAAACGAGCTAAAATATCAGGATAATGACATAAATAATATATCATAAAACATGATAAATTCGCTGTTGTGTCAATTCCAGCAGAATATAGCTTAGCTAAGGTGTGGACGATTTCATCATTATTTAAAGGTTTAAAACGTATATTTGGAGTCACATTCGGTAACGGTATTTACGGTAATCATATCATGTCTCAATAGGTGTTGCTTAATTTCGTTTCTTCGACAATTAGTAATTTTCAACATAATTTTAGTATAATTACGCCTATTATTAAGCATGGCCTGATTCTTTTTCTCAATAAAGTGTGTCTAATAAAAGCGAGATAAGTAAAAACAAATTTTATATCATCAAATCCATTCTCAACTTCTACGAAATTCGCAATGTTCTCAACTACAGGAATTTGTTCGATATGTTTTCTCTTTGATGGTTCAACATGATTAAAATAATTTGACCATGGAATTCACTTTTAACCCAACAGTCATTTGAAAGATAATTTTTGTGGTAAACCTATGAGTCCATGTGGCAAAATCGATTAGAACATTCTCTCTAATCTACCCATTTAATTCATTAAACAGAATTGAGTCCAATAAAAAACTTCTTTAGAGAAGCTTGGTGACAAATGTCTTGTGTTAAGAATTTTCTTTTGATCCTCCAACTAGAAATATTATTATTATTCGATAAAAGCCCTTTCCTTTCACTCCTAATTAATCAATCGAAGCGATATCTTCTGTTTTCACGTTATTTACTGTTGATAAAAGAAGCCAACATTTTTTCAACATATCCGCCTTGAAAAATACGATTTTTACGAGCACTTCCAACATAACATTTCAAAATATCGCTGATTTACATTTTAAACCATTCTGCTTCATCACTTGCTTGTAATGCAATTCTAAACACCTCTCCAACTAATAGGAAGGGGAATTTTGGACTTGCTCTTGTAATAAATTTGTGTGTTATATACTAAAAGGATTGATACAATTATTCCTATGTAATCTAACGCTCCCAATGCTAAGGTGGACGGTCAGTAGAAAAGGGGGAAATCCACTTTTTAGTCAAAAATTTTTTTATTGGTTCACTCTGCTGATCATGGTCATGTGAACACTAGCTTAATAACTAAAATTACTCAAAATTTGTAGATTTCCCCCCCTTCTATTGACCCCCCATATGTATATACAAAAGGTATTAAATTAAATTAAATTCATAAGAAATTTTATTACTATACATGCGAATGAATTTAATTCCGCTGGAATTTATACATAAAAGGAAAATAACAGATTCATTAATTAGGCGATTTTACTAGCAACGCTTTCATATGTCACATATGACGTGACGTTTTTTGCTCTTTAAAAAAATCATACATTTATTTTTTTTTTTTTTGGACTTTACAGATAAAAAAAGAGCTTGCAATAAATATTTCAATATTTAAAAATCGTCTCCGCTATGGCATCTTAAAATCAAGTATCGAATTGCGTGTTAGAAGATAATTGAGAACACGACTAAAGCTTTTATCTGTTACTAACTATCGCATATTGTTCATCATTACGGCATAAAAAAAAAAATTACGTTTATTTATTCATTTACAATATTTTTTTACGAATATTAAAAAAAAATTTTAATAAATACAATTTTACAATTACGATTTGGATCTTTGATTAACTCTGATCTGTAATTCAATACACGCGTTTACGATGGTATGCTTTAATTTCAAAGGAGCATTCATATCTACTAATGTGATATCTAAATTTCTATATATTAAAGCGATTAGACATTTCATTTCGACAATAGCTAATTTTCTTCCTGGACATAACCTTACTCCACCTCCAAACATCAAAAATGTATTCTTTTGTGGTTCAGTTCCTATAAATCTATCAGGATTAAATTCATAAGGATCTTTCCAATGAACGGGATTAAGATGAATTCCTTCCAGATATGCAATAAAATTCGTGTTTGCGGGCCATTCATAGCCTGCGATTACATCCGACGAAGAGGAAGCGCGTAGAGTTATTTTTGCTGTATTTACGAGACGTGAACATTCCTTAAATATAGCTTCCGTGTAATACATCTTTGAGAGATCTTCCATTGTAGGCATACGTTGATCCAAACCAAAAATTGAATCAAGTTCCTTTTGCAAACGAGCCAAAACGTTAGGATAATGACATAAATGGTATACGACAAAACATAATAAGTTTGCAGTTGTGTCAATTCCTCCAGAAATAGCTTCAAGTAAATTTTGACTGATTTCATCATTATTTAAAGGTTTAGAATGATCTTCATCCATATACTTGGATTTATTAATATCACGTTCGGTATTTGCGGTGATCAAAGAAGTTAACATATCATGTCTCAATTTATCTTCAACTGGGGTTGCCTCAATTTCTTTTCTTCGATAATCAATAATCTTCTTCATAGTTTCAATAATTTTACGTCGATGATTAAGCACTGCTTGATTCTTTTTTTTCAAGATGGTATGTCTAATTAAAGCGGGAAACGTAAGAACAAATTTTATACAATCCAGTTCTTTCTCAATATCATCAGCGAAATTTGCAATATTTTCAACTGCAGGACTTGATTCGATATGTATTCTCTTTGACGGTTCAACATTATTAAAATAGGTGGCCATTGAATTAACCTTTAACCCAACAGTCATTTGAAAAATAATTTCCGTGGTAAACCTATGAATCCATACGGCAAAATCGATCGGAGCATTCTTTCCGATTTCTTTCCAATATACATTTAATTCATTAAAAAGAATTGGAGTCCAATGTAAAACTTCATTCGAGAAGCTTGGTGTCAAAATTGCCTGTGTAAAGAATTTTCTATTGAATCTCCAAGTACTAATATCATTATTCAAAAAAATCCCTTTTCCTTTCATTCCTAATTCTTTAAGTGCAGGGTAATCATCTGTTTTCATTATATAATTACTGTTTGTAGAAGGTGACATCAATTTTTCGACATATTCAGCTTTGGCAAATACAATTTGACGTTCATTTCCAGAATATGTTTCGAAAACATCACCATATTTCTTATTCAATATATTAAGCCATTCTGCTTGATCTCCATTTGCTTGTAATATAATGCTCAATACATTTCCGAACAGAGGAAGGGGAATTTGACCTGGTAGTGGATTTGATCTTGTAAAATATTTGTAATAAAATTGTGCGATGTATATTAAAAGAAATGATATAATTATTTTTGTAAAATCTAACGCTTCAAGCATTAATAATGTCATGGCTAACAAGATGATAAGTCGAATTTGAAATTTAATCCAAAAAGAATTTTACCCCTTAATATATATATGCATAAAGTAAATAAGTCGGGTCGGTCCTTAATTTATGCGTAAACAGATTAAATGATACAAATTGGAGTGAATTAAAGGAATAGCCGAATTCCGAGGGGAATTTCTAAATTAAGATTCGTTTCCGATTTCCCTTTATCATTTTAAAAATTGTGTAACTTCCATCATCAAAAACAAAAAGTCTGACCCTCGAAAATTATTTCTAAAAATGGTAATACTAGTAATTTCGCGCGAGGCTTTTACATTCAATTTCTTGCACGATTATTTTTTTATTTTAAACAAATTTTTGCGTATATACAGTTCACGCTCTATATAATCAATTACCGGGAGCAGGAAATGAAATTCATTATAAAAGTTCGTAATATACAGTATGTATGTATTACAACAATACAATGCTAAGATCATCACGCGTCATTTGTTTTCGCGTAAATCCTTTTTTAAAAATTCAATAATCACATGTAAATCCTCAATATTAATGTTGTTATTGATCCGCTTCTTTGTATTAATTTTTTTCTAAAATATTATAAAAAAAATTTTTATTTTATTAGAAAATAAAAGTTAAAGATAATTTATAATTTTGAATATTTATTTCATATTTATTTTGTAATTTGGATATTTATTTTATATTTATTTTGAATATATTTCATATTTATTTT